AAAATATGGAAATACAACACGTGTTTGTGTGTGTGTGTGTGTGTGTGTGTGTGTGTGTGTGTGTGTGTGTGTTTCAGTCTGCAGAAGGACGTGGAGTGAAGACGATCATCCGTGTGACACAGACGCATCTGATGGGAATCAAACTGATCCTCATGTTTCACTCCTGACACTTTTAGAGTTGAGCATGAAAACACTGAGAGTTTAAGGCAGTGTTCAGCACTGATATGCAAATCAGTTGTTTCTTTTATACTTCATGATGTTACACTGTGTTTTACTGATTTTATTTTTGTTTTAATGAATCATACTGTTCTCTTGCTAATTAAAGGCCGAGATATCATGAGATCCTGTAACAGATGTCTGTGATTACAGAGCGTTTTCTCTCATTTGCACAATTTGTGTTTTTCTCTCTGAAAACTTTTTATTGGAAAGTAGTTTTAATAAAGATCCTTTTATTTCACATTTTACATGCTCCATTTTTTTTTTACATACCATATGATGTGTAGTGATAAAGATTTAATTAAGCACAAATAATAGATTGTTTTTCTTTGTCTTTCCTGTTGCTCTGGTTTGGATCGAGTGAATGTGAATGGAGAAAAGTGTATTATAGATGGTAAAAACCTCAAACACCATCAGCATCCAGAACATCTCACAATACAATCATTTTCTTCCTTTATTAAATATTATTACAAAAATATATTAAGGGCAGATACTACAGATGCATTGTCAAAAAAAAAAATCAGTTCATCAAATTGAAACTAATATTATTTTAATTTTGTAGCTTATTTGTTTAAAGTCCTTCTTTGGCTTTTCAACACATTTTTGTTGAATGCAAATGTGCTCCTAATGCTAGAGGAATTGTATGATAAATAATAGGAAATTTTATGATATCTAAAATTACTGCTTTGCCCCAAAATCACAAGATATATATTTGAAATATAACGTAAAATATTAGATATTTATGTTGGCTTCAGAAAGCCAACATACTGTTACTCTATTTAACCTTATAGTGCAGGTCTGCTGAATGCTCGAATCTGATTGGCTGACGAACGTTCTAAGGTGTGCAATTATTTTCAGGTAAACGCACGGCGAAAGTAGTTCCAGGCAGCTTTGGACCGCATCACATGACCATATCACTTACCCAAATTATTTCAGGTACAGTTTCCCTCACCTTTGGTGCATTTCCCGAACCATCCTTAATATTTGCAAAGAAGTATGTGCATTTCTCAAAACAATTTGTACAAACAGCACCACACAATGGATTACCTGCAAAAGCCTGTAACTTACTCAAAATCTTTAGTTCATCTGTCAAAAGTAAGTATTTATGGCAATGAACATATCAGTGCCATCAGAATGAATGTGTCATTGTTCACAAACAAAATGCTTCGTCATGTTGTCAATATTACTGTGCACTCTGTTAGTATTACCTGATGTAAACTATGGCAACAGTTTGGATGCAGTAACTATTGAAGTGCAGAAGGCTTAAGTCTAATAGAAATGTGTAGAAAATATGCTTGCAAGTTTTTGACAACTAGATCAACCATTTTGCATTTAATGACTTATACGATGAACTAATAACTAGATGTTTTGAGGGATAAGACTGTTGCACAGAGTATAATACATTTTGAGCAACATGACATTAGCAATTGATAATGTAGGAAACCGCAGACAAATGTACATAATCAATTGCATGAATGCACCAAAGCAATCGCAACTTGTTCAAAAGAATGAGAAACTGCTTTTATATGATGTGCACAAGTGACTCGATGATGTGGAGGTTGAACAAGTAGTTTTGAGAATTTCATTTCCGATCTGAGAAATGCACCAAAGCGACTGAGAAAAACTGTATTTCAAAGGTCTACAACAGTAAAATAACCAAAACCCACAAAGACACTGACCAAGCAAATACATTTAGTAAACAATAGGATACAAATGACAAATTATTTCCATATTTGTGACACAAAATTACATTGAGATATGTACAGAAAGCATATACTCTCTGTCTCCCGCTCTCTCTTCCTTACAAATACACACATACAGTACAGACACTGCTACGTCTTTACGAACGTTCATCATTTGCATGCATTTTTAAGCGATTTTACACCATTCATGCACAAGAACACATGAAAGAGCTGTTTTGTGTGACAGAGAGCAGTGTCGCGTCTACGACAACACGTGAGCCCCGAGGCGCTGAACGGACAAATACATACCAAAATACATGATAGCGTGGCGAATACCATAGAAAACATGTCGCAAGTGAACAAACTGTTGAGAAATAAATTGGATGGGGATCGTTATATTCAAGTGAGTTTGATTTGATTTTGGCATTGGTGGGGACATAACAGCAGACATCAGACATTTAATTGTTTGATCAAAATTATTGCTAGTGACAATTTAGTAGTCTCTGATATTGGTATTATTGATGGTATTGATATTAGCATCTACGCCCTTGATTATATCAGATTCATCCATTAAAGTGACCATGTTTACCAGCTGCTGTTCATCTTTAATGTCAATCCATCGAAAAGAGAAAATCACTCATTATTCTTGGCTGCATAACTTTTGTTGCTTTAACATGAATAAATCAATATTTCATGAAAACTATGCAGTGTTATTTTTACATTTGATTGATCTGAACACCTACAAACCTGAAACCTGTTTTTTTTGTGCTATTGCATGTAATTTGCTTATTGTCAAATTTAACGCAATAAGCAAATTACAAGGGTCAGTTAAAATTAAAATAACAAGGGTCTATAGAAAATTAATATGAAAACAATAACTGTTGTACTTTTTTTGTGGCAGGGTCAGCTCAAGAACACAGAACACATGTGATCTGGCTCTTTTGGCTTGAGCTGCCCATGTTGGCTTTCCCAAGCCACCATCAAAGTTTGTTCACAAACCTTAGCCTCTAGTTTAATATAAAATTGGAAAGATAGATGGATGGATGGCTGGATATATGATGGATGGATGGCTGGATGGATGGATGGATGGATGGATATATGATGGATGGATATATAATGGATGGATGGATATATGATGGATGGATGGAATCAGAATGAATGTGTCATTGTTCACAAACAAAATGCTTCGTCATGTTGTCAATATTACTGTGCACTCTGTTAGTATTACCTGATGTAAACTATGGCAACAGTTTGGATGCAGTAACTATTGAAGTGCAGAAGGCTTAAGTCTAATAGAAATGTGTAGAAAATATGCTTGCAAGTTTTTGACAACTAGATCAACCATTTTGCATTTAATGACTTATACGATGAACTAATAACTAGATGTTTTGAGGGATAAGACTGTTGCACAGAGTATAATACATTTTGAGCAACATGACATTAGCAATTGATAATGTAGGAAACCGCAGACAAATGTACATAATCAATTGCATGAATGCACCAAAGCAATCGCAACTTGTTCAAAAGAATGAGAAACTGCTTTTATATGATGTGCACAAGTGACTCGATGATGTGGAGGTTGAACAAGTAGTTTTGAGAATTTCATTTCCGATCTGAGAAATGCACCAAAGCGACTGAGAAAAACTGTATTTCAAAGGTCTACAACAGTAAAATAACCAAAACCCACAAAGACACTGACCAAGCAAATACATTTAGTAAACAATAGGATACAAATGACAAATTATTTCCATATTTGTGCCACAAAATTACATTGAGATATGTACAGAAAGCATATACTCTCTGTCTCCCGCTCTCTCTTCCTTACAAATACACACATACAGTACAGACACTGCTACGTCTTTACGAACGTTCATCATTTGCATGCATTTTTAAGCGATTTTACACCATTCATGCACAAGAACACATGAAAGAGCTGTTTTGTGTGACAGAGAGCAGTGTCGCGTCTACGACAACACGTGAGCCCCGAGGCGCTGAACGGACAAATACATACCAAAATACATGATAGCGTGGCGAATACCATAGAAAACATGTCGCAAGTGAACAAACTGTTGAGAAATAAATTGGATGGGGATCCTTATATTCAAGTGAGTTTGATTTGATTTTGGCATTGGTGGGGACATAACAGCAGACATCAGACATTTAATTGTTTGATCAAAATTATTGCTAGTGGCAATTTAGTAGTCTCTGATATTGGTATTATTGATGGTATTGATATTAGCATCTACGCCCTTGATTATATCAGATTCATCCATTAAAGTGACCATGTTTACCAGCTGCTGTTCATCTTTAATGTCAATCCATCGAAAAGAGAAAATCACTCATTATTCTTGGCTGCATAACTTTTGTTGCTTTAACATGAATAAATCAATATTTCATGAAAAGTGTTATGTGTTATTTTTACATTTGATTGATCTGAACACCTACAAACCTGAAACCTGTTTTTTTTGTCATGTAATTTGTAATTTGCTTATTGTCAAATTTAACGCAATAAGCAAATTACAAGGGTCAGTTAAAATTAAAATAACAAGGGTCTATAGAAAATTAATATGAAAACAATAACTGTTGTACTTTTTTTGTGGCAGGGTCAGCTCAAGAACACAGAACACATGTGATCTGGCTCTTTTGGCTTGAGCTGCCCATGTTGGCTTTCCCAAGCCACCATCAAAGTTTGTTCACAAACCTTAGCCTCTAGTTTAATATAAAATTGGAAAGATAGATGGATGGATGGCTGGATATATGATGGATGGATGGCTGGATGGATGGATGGATGGATGGATATATGATGGATGGATGGATGGACATATGATGGATGGATGGATATATGATGGATGGATGGATATATGATGGATGGATGGATATATAATGGATGGATGGATTGACGGATGGATATATGATGGATGGATGAATATATGATGGATGGATGGATGGATATATGATGGATGGATGGATGGATATATGATGGATGGATGGATGAATATAAGATGGATGGATGGATGGCTGGATATATGATGGATGGATGGCTGGATGGATGGATGGATGAATATATGATGGATGGATGGATGATGGATGGATGAATATATGATGGATGGATGGATGAATGAATATATGGTGGATGGATGGATGGATATATGATGGATGGATGGATGCTGGATGGATGAATATATGATGGATGGATGGATGGATGGATATATGATGGATGGATGGATGATGGATGGATGGATGAATATATGATGGATGGATGGATGGATGGATAGATGGATAGATATGTGATAGATAGATAGATAGATAGATAGAACCAGGTACAGAATCTATGAATCTCATTATGTTTATCCTACAGTATTAAATATGAACACCAAACTGTTGAGACGTGTCAAACGAGACAGGTGTTCTGTTACTGTCTGCATGCAGATGGAGTGAGTGT